AAAATAGCCAGATTAGTATTGCATCCTTCCGCAAATTAATAACTTTATTAGGTCATGATCAGTTTTACACATTAATCTATGTTGAAATTCTGTAGTTGCTACGGTGGCTCACATACGACATTAATATATTGATTTAAACATTTGTTGAAATAAGTGGAAATTATTTTTACCTAGGTGAAAATTAAAGTTTATTATTCAAATTTACATGAATTATTACCTAATTTTCAGGTATTCAGGTGAAAATAATTATCACCCAGGTAGAAATTAAAATTTTAAATTCAAAATTACATGAATTACTGAATAAGCAACTCAAATGTTTTCCAAAGAATTATCTGGTCTACTTACCCTGTTAAATGTGAGAAATTTTCTACATGTTGATGATCTGGTGATAAAATTTCAAATATGGCTGTGAAATGAGTATAGGATAAAAAACTTAACAATCTGAAAAAATTACAGATATAGTAATAAAGTTAATTGTAATTAATTTTTGTCATTGTAGAGAACAAAACAGAATCAAATGTCAAGAATCACTTTACCATGAGTGTATATGCTGGATTTTTAATTTTAGAAACCATAGAAACTATTTTATGTGTATTTTGATTTGATATTTTCTTAGGAAGGATAGTAAGTATAGATTGTAAATGAAATCATACTGGTCAATTACCAACATTTGTATAAATGTGCTGTTCTTGGTGCTTATTGGAATCAAATACATTTTATCATTTTTCATTAGTATTTCAATTACTACACGTACCAAATAATCAATCAGTATATCTTTACTCACAAGAGTCAGTCAGATGCTTGATTAGACTGATAATACTTACAAAAATCTTTCATGAGAATCCATAAGTTCTATGTTAAACATGATAGCTTCACATACTTCTCTAGCTATTCTATATCTAGGCTCATTATACCTTTCTATATCTTCTACAATACATAGTTTCAAATATACAGTTATATATCGATAGAATCATTTACAAGCTAATAATGTTGAATGGAATAAATTGGCAGGTTTAAATTTTCACATTCAGCTTTAAAGATTTAAAGAACACCAGTACATGTTTATAGATGTGGACAGGTGGGCTACATGAACAGAATCAGGTAGCACTAGAAACTTGCTCTTTGGTGGAAGAAACACTACTTTCAAATTTTGAAAAAAAGCCTAAACAATAGATCACTACATGATACAAACATTTGCTTCAAATTCTTATCTGATCTGTAATCTAAATACAAAATACATGAATTTACCTCTTCTTCTAAATATTAAATGCACATTTTTTGAACCACCACACATCACAAATTGACCATCTATAATTTGGCAACTAAAGTGGGCAGCTTCACCATTAGCTTTTATTGTGGATATGATATTTTTAGTGGATTCTAAAGGCTGAAAAAAGCAATGTTTCAGATAAAACTATGTTTAACTTTTCATTTACATATACGATATTTTGAAAAGAATTGGCATTGAAGTTAATTATAGGAATTTTATAAGTCTGTCCAGCAAGACTAACTTGGCATAGAAAATCATCTTTTACAATGTTACAGACTATTCCAGGAATTTCTTTCAATACAAGGAACATTTTTACATGGTATTCTTACCTTTGTAAAATATTTTTTCCATGTTGTGTTATCTCCCTTGTCTCGATCATCATCATCACCTAATCCTCCAGTAAATTTCTTTAAACCATATAATATACATGTTGTTCCATTATGTGGTCCATTTGATATATTCAAAAAACAGTTTCCCCTAGCAACCTAGAGCAGACAATAATAGAATTCTAGTATGAAATCCTTCCAAAATTGTAGCCTACATCATCTGACTATTTAGGTTTAACAATAATCATCTACTGTAAGTGGCTATGGCATGGATCAGTGGGAAGTGGGAACTATCCTTGCCAATTAAAAAATGGGCCTTTAGTTTCCAGATACTCGTTAACTTGCAAAAATCATTAAGAATAATAGCCTATACTACATCATCAAAATACACACCCACTGTCGGATTTTTTCATTTGCATCATAAATTTTATCATCAGGACCTCGAACACTGTTTACTTTGACATCTAATAATTCTGCTTTATAACCATTAGGAAGAATTGCTACAGGAACACTAGCTTTGACTATCTTTAGTTCTTTTAATCTTTTTGCCCATTCTAACCAACTGGAATTAATTTGATATAATATTATTCAAAAATAACCACTAAGTGCAACAATGTAACAAATAACAATTTTTATTTTTTAACAACTTTTTTATGTATCAAAAGATAGTAGTTATCTCCAACTTTTTATCACAAAATACATAAAATGTAGAATAATATATTGATAATTGAACCCATTATGCTATTGTAAGCTACAGAGACATTTATTCAGTACAACAATGTATCTATTACCTCCCTTGAAAAGTATCGTAATGATAAATACTCACTCCTTGGCTTGCTTTCTTTCTTTAGCTGCCTCGATTTTAGGTTTCAAGTGTCGAATGTAATTATATAAATCCGTAGCTACTTCTTTATTGTCAATACTTTTGGAAAATTCTGATATATAAGATTTTACTTCATCTAAAGAAGGAAGAGGTTTTGCCGAAGCCATTACAGTTTTTGCACGAACTTGTTTTCTATTTATAGTAACTTTATAAGCCTTATGAAGCTTTAGCTATAAGTGATTTAACTGCAATGGTATACTGAAATGTTCCTTTTATATGAAAACTCTGCGGATTACACCATACATTGAAATGAGAGTGAACAAAGAATGTCTGTCTTACTGATATTTCAAAATACAGATGAAATAACCATGCCATTTATACGGAAGCGTATTAGGGCCATTCATTTTTTTTTTTTTTTTGAATTTTCAAGTTAGTATGTTGAATTTTCAAGTTAGTAACTTGAATTTTCAAGCTAGTATCTTGAATTTTCAAGCTAGTATGTTGAATTTTCAAGTTAGTATGTTGAATTTTCAAGTTACTATTTTCAATTTTCAAGTTTGACTTGAAAATTCAACATACTAACTTGAAAATTAAAAAAAAAAAAAAAATGAAAATTCGAGTTACTAACTTGAAAATTCAACATACTAACTTGAAAATTCAAGTGTTCAAGTGCATTTTATTTTTTTTTAATAAAATAAACAATTCCATTCTTTTGAGTGAGGGCTTATTTTCTATAAATAATTTATTTCCCATGTTAAATCTTTTTAGTTTTCAAATATTTCTGTATAAAAAGCCAAAATACACAACATATACGAAAGCATTTGGGGAGCAGACTTGTGTTTATATAATTATATGGATATCATAATATAATACTATATAATGAAGAATGTTAATGAATATGCTAATACAAGAAGTATGTCCTCGAGTAAGGTTTTGAATACTTTCTTTTTCATTGTTTTTGAGTGTTTGCCCTTTACTATATAAACAAAATTGAATCCTGATCTTAGCTTTCAAAGTTTGATGTGTAGTCTACTGCCAAATATGTCACTGTTGTAAATGATATAGTACAAAGCTGCCATGCATATTTAATGTGTGGTTGTATACTTATATGCAACTTCTCTTTTGGAGTATGAACTACATCTTGGATTCAACAATTTAATCAAATATGCCTGATATATTGAATAAAGGTCTCGAAAAAGGGGCAATTTACAGTCAAAATCGATGACAAGGGGGTAAAACTTTAAGGAACAACAAATGATGGTTTCGCAAATAGTATAATAATCAAAATAGAAATAATACAAAAACAAAATAATAATGACTAGATGTATAATATTGCTTTAAGAATTGTCAAATATTCAGAAATTGTTTTGCAATTAAATATTCATATATTTCTTAAATAGATTGCCTGGTTGTCTATGGAATTTAGATCTCATTTTATAGGTAAAGTGGATGTTTCATTTCGTGTCTTTTCTAAGGGGAACTCTGCATGCCATAGTTACCTGTGCAAGAAAATCAGGAAACACAACATCCAGATTTAAATAAACTGGAGCTTTGGCTTTTTCAGTCATTTTAAGATTACTCTCCAAAATTTGTTCAATATGAAATTGAACTAGCAATATGAAAAAACAATTTATGCTTATCAATTTTCTATTAAATTCAAATTAGGTACTGGCAAAGCATGGACTTTGATTCTTTCAGATATAAAATGTAAAGCTATTTCAAGAAGGGTCAGAAATGCTTTGATATAGCTCCTTGAAGGGATGTTTTGCAATAATAACATTTTCCCAATTTCATTATTAAAGGGAAAGATGCAGCATTTTTCAGGGGTTGATTTTAGTCTTAAATATATGTAAATAGTCTTCAGATGTACTAGAAATGTATGAAAATTGCAAAATTCCTTTAATAATAATTCAAACTAGGAAATTTACTCACTATTCCCATATATGTCTTTCCTATATATCACAGAGTATCTTAAAATCTTAAAAGTCGTCATGTTAACATTCAAACGTGGATAATTCTGGACACACATGGATTTGAAGGCTCAAATTTCAACAGTGAGCTGTGAACACTATTACTAATTGGCAAATACGCCCACTGTAAAGAATTGTAGCCTGTAGAGTGAGCACAAGTTGCACAATATAGCTAATAGAGTAAAACGTCAAGTCAGACACGATATTTCGGTGAAAAATTATTCGATCATCACGAAAATCGATAGGGATCATCTAAATAATGATATCTTACGTGTGGGCGTATAAAAAGGCTCATTTCTAAGGCTAAAGTGTAATTGGCTAAAAAAAAATGGCAACTGTCCCTTTAAGAGGTTTGAGTTTAACAAATGGCATCTGTCCCTTTAAGAGGTTTGAGTTTAACAAATGGCATGCTTATATAAAGAAGTTCCACATAATCTTTAAATATTTTGACTAGTTGTTCTTTGAGGCTATATATTGACTAGGAAGACAGAATTGATAGCAGCTAGGCCATATGTATTTCTCCTTACATGAGTTTAAATAAAATTAGGAGTTGATCACAAATGCTATTGAAACCAACTGGTTAATTTTTTTGGAAGGTTCATACCATGAACATGTATCATGTGATATTTGAGGTTATCAGTTCGTCTGAACTCTCGCCCACACAGTTCACAGTTAAAAGATTTATTAGTATGAACAACACGATGGTGTCTTTTTAAATTCTGTAACCAACCAAATGCTTTTCCACATAGTTGACACACAAAACATTCACCTATACCCTGAAAGATTCAGATTCAGATTTAAAAGTAACAGACTCAGATATAGATGAAACCTATTCAGATGAAAAGAAAAGGTGGTAATGAAAAGCCAAAGCAAACAGTGTTGGACACAATGGAAATTCATTGTAATAAAAAAAAAATGTGATGAACACAATCTACACAGGCTATTTCTTGTCAGATGCTAATTCACTATAATTGTAATAAATAAAAACTAAAAAAAACTTACTGCATGATTTGAACCAGATCCACTTTTGAAATCTTAAAAGAAAAATATGATGGCTTTGGAAATTTTGACAATTTTTTATGTGCACAAGTATTTTGAGTCATGCAATTTTCTAAATCATTAATACACTGAAATAATTATCATAGTCACTGTGCATATGAGTATCACAAATGGTGAGACAGATTAGTGTTAAATATTTGTGCCCCAATTTTTCTTTTATGTTTTGCTTGGAATAAGCTCAATAATATGTTATTTCATTTTGAAACTGTGAGAAGCCTAACATCTAGCAGGATAGCCCAACATGAATTGAAGCTAATAATACAAATGAATATTATTACTATATTTATTCATCAATGGAATGGTTTATACCCAATTGCACCCACTTCATTTCTAAGTTATAGCTAATAGTAAATGGGCTAGGTATTGAATCTACAGTCTAATGGTCTCCCCTATCCAGAATTTTTAAAATATTATTTTGTTTAGGTTAATTCAAACATCATAAAGAAACACTACCAGATAAATGGAATAGTGTCATTGCTTTAATGAATATGAAGATGGGGGTAAATTTAGGAGGCTATTTTCCTTTATGATGAGAAAAAAAATATAGATAGAGACACCTACCAAACATGTCTTTATCAGAGTTAGTTGGTTGTGGTGTTAACATTCTAGATAAACTAGACAAACTGTCACAGGATTCAGTATTGTTAATAGTTAATGGATATACACCTAGAGATTTCTGCCTCAGCTGACTTAAAAATTCTGGAGAACCACCAAATTCTGAAACAGAAATTCTATTTAGTTTTTTCCAGCAATACATTGAAATGATAGAAGATTGAAATATAAGGTAAACATTTTCATTAACCTATGGTAACTTGTATAGTGTATAATTTGTGGTCATGCACTTTATTTACAGAACATTAATCTGTTCATCTCAAATGTACGTGCATATTTTTTTTATAAAATTGTATATCAAAATTATGTATATATTTTTAATCAGACTCATGTCAATATAGATCTTTTTAAATATTTTAGATTATGTTAAATCTATGGATTCTTTTAAGATTTCCTCTGGTAGGCCATTAAAGCAACCTTGAAAGCTTTGTTGAAAATGGCAAATGCATTGCCTGAAATTTTCCCAAAAGAAAATGGCAACGACATACACATTCAAAATACAATTTTGGTCCCTCTATCATATTGATTTGAATATTTCATGCATTGATATAATCTAAATTTGCATTTCCCTACCTGCTGAATCATTTCTAATAATTTCTTGTTTAACTTTTGACAAATCTACTACTTCTTCCTTAACTTGAGTATCTAAACTATTATTTGGTATTGAGTGTTCCTGTGTGACATTCCTTAACACAGAATTCGATGTAAGTAGATGGGGATCAGACATTAGATGATTCATTTTATGACTAGAAGTGACTGAGAATTCATCTTCTGTCGCACAGTTTTCAATTTTACCACTAGCTGAAGCACTATCATTGCCATAAATACTAGTATGGTCCATATCAATATCAGTTATACTGGAGGTAGAATTGGATTCAGGTTTATCAGCACCAGGTAAAGAATGAGCTAGTGTTGCTGATACTGATGCTGGATCAATGGAGATAGGTAAGGTCATTGTTGGCATAAGTCTTTCTGAAAATTTGGCTTCTGATGATTTTGTATCAGATGGTGATAAACAAGATCTTTTGGTTATTTCTTGAGGTTTAAATTTAATGTAGTCTAAAGATCTTCTTCTAGAGTTTGACCTCTGTAAGCGGTTATTGGGTGAAGAAAAAAAGCGGCTTTCAGATAGCCTATGTAAATTAACATAGAAATCAGATGAAATCGATTTCTCTAAATCTTTTTTGTCTGCAACATTATCACATCTAGTTTTATCCAAGTCTTCAGTGTTTGGAAGAGGGGGTGGTCTGTCTAAATTTTTCTTTGGTGTTTTTTGTTGTGGATCAGTGGCATAGAAACTTTTACTGATAAATGTCGTTGAAGATTCATCACTTTTAGAAACTTTTTCATTCACAATATAATTAAATTCTGTTGCACTATCAACTGTTAGGAATAAATGACCCACAACTTTCACATTTTTATCGAAATCTACATTTCCATGACAAACCGCTTGTAAATTTTTTACTAACGCTGAGATAAATTGGTCACCAGGGTTATTCAACATTTTGAAACAACTAAAATAATCTGCAAAGAGAAATTAGAAATAAACACATGAGCTTGCACATGTTGATTTAGATCTGCTCATACTGCCTGCAGATTTTTGGGAAAAATGAAAATTTTGAAATGATTGACTGTCTGTAGTCTCTTAAGGTCTCAGTCAAAACAATTTTCCAAGACTAGTTTAGGCTGACACTTCTTAACAAATTTTGTAAGCAAACTTTATGATTGGATGGGTTGGTTGATTTGATAAGCGATTCAAGAGTCGGTTATGTTCTGACTGGGTGAGACTATACAAATTCTAGCAATGCAGAATGATCCAGGGTAAGAGCCTTTCCACAATAAATTTTATTACTCAAAGATAAATCTAAGGTTAGTGTTTATTGGAAATCCAATGATTAAGAACCATGCATACTTAAATAAACAAGAAAACAAACATTCTTTTCTTTTTAAACAGGAACACAAACACAGGAAATTCAGCAAGAGAAGATGCCAAACTTCAACATACACGGATTGGTTAAAGATTATGAACCTCGTGCAGAAGTTAATAATATGTATATTAGTTTCATTAGGAATCTTATTTTTTTCCTATTATATTTAGGCTAATGTGTGAATTTTGGCGACGCAAGGAACCTAGACTCCACATGCTTTGTTTTCTTCTTTCTAAAAATATATATGTTCATACCAAGATCAAATTGACATTTCCAGTCTAGCTTTTTACCTTACATTACCATTTACATTGACATGAGGCTATATTCTCAAACACATTCACTCTCTATGTTTGAAATATAAATTTCAAATAAGAATAAGAAATAAGAAAGCTGATGAAATAAGATAGCTGATGAAATAAGAAGCATCTAAAAATAAAATAGTAAGTTATTTCTCCTCAAAGAGTCCCTAATTAGTCTACAAAAAACACAGAGTAGCCTAGGCCTAGTTTGGCTCAACTTATAGTATAGTCTTTCTGACTTTCAGTTAAGTAATATTTCAGAATATCATATTTGTAGAAAATGAAGTCTTGGTTTAATTATTCTGTCGTCCTTGTAGTTCCTTTGATAAAATGTATACAGGTAATTATCATTGTTAACACCCAATTAAGATTCCCAGTTTGCCGCTAAGTTAATTTCAATTCTTGGCCAAAATTCAATGATGTCTATGATTCACGTAAGGTATATTAAGGGATTTAGCAAGACAGCTGTCTGTTTATTTTCTTTGAATTAAATGTGATCAACACAACTCACTGATTGATTTAAAGTCGAGTGAGTTGCAGTATTAAAACAGTGGCTATACTTAACATTTATATTAATGATATTGGAGTATGAAACACACAATTGTTACTTTAAAGGGATTATTTAGTTAACAGTAAGTAAGTTAGTAAACAGTTTTAAGATATAGAGGACAGTTAGTGTGTATCCATAACAATACTCATACATTCTACTAGATAGTGGATAATCTTCTTTAGGTGACTTTATTTGACTATCGAGACAAAGTTATACATTCATTATTACTATAGAGATCATAGAACTGCAATAGTTCCATGTAGAAAGTCTCATGTGGGAATTAGTACAAATAACTGTGTTATGGTTTTTTGAATTGCAAATATCAAACCAAATTTCTTGTCATAGACTTGATCAAGTTTTGTCTATAATCACCTATCAATCCGTATGATAAAGACTAGCGGAAATAAGATGAAAAGATAGCGAACAATGCATTTAAAACTTGGGGATATCCTTTGCAAATGACCATATATTGATAAAACGATTTATTTTGCCAAAGTAAAGGTAATTCTTGGTAATATTTAATATTTTTATTCTGGAATGATTTGTGTTAGAGACCTCGAAATAGATTCGATGTCGCCATCATTTACTGAACATCAATGAATTGTAGTCTCACTCCATCCATCCTAATTTGGTCAGGAGCTGAATTTTTTCCTAATCCTATCAAGATGGCTTCTCTATATACAATATGGCAGTGCCTCGTCTTTTAAACTTTCAAACGTATATAATTTGGGTAAACATGGATTCTAAGGATCAAATTTCGAAGGTGAGCTGAGAACACTACCGTACTCTTTGGCAATATTGACCATTTCAATTTATTCTCTTATTTCGTAAAATAATCATAATAGAATTTCCAACTTTATGCCATTTATCTTAGAATGTTTTCGGGTCCATAGAAATATAATTCTACAATGGACACTCTTCCCTCCCAGAAAATTTATGCGAAAATGACCTGTTAGAACTGAAAATTCCCCTCAACTTTCCAGTGGTTAACATTTTCATCAAGTCAAAGGCAATCAGACTTACAGTAGTATTTTGTAATTGATGTTTCACTTCATACAAAAATGAATGTCAAAATTAAATTCAGTAAACATTGTAGTCAGAGAGTAGGCCTATTACTGATAGGCTTAGAAAAAAAAATTCCCATTTCTGAGACTAAGGTACATTGGTAAAAAAAATGGTACACCTGTACCTGTAAGGCTAATGTTTAAGATGGAGAATAATGTTATGAGAACTCTGTCATGTCTTTTGATAGGTTGAATGTACAATAATGATAGTGATCCATTTCGATTAAGTGCTAAGTTGACTAAAACCTGTGAACTTT